TGCGTTTCTGTTCGCAACCGTCCGCAACCGTTCGTGCGATCCCCGTATGGCCGTGCCTATGGTAAGTTCTGCAGGAGGATCATTTTTGGATGTTTCCAACGTTTCGATGCTTCGTTTCGAGTGGCAGGCGTGGCACTTTGTGACATTCAGACATGTTTTGTAACGTGTCGAAAGTCGTTTTGTGTGGCAGGCGCAATACTTTTGCGACGTTTTCCGAAGATTCGTGGCAGTTTTCGTGGCAGGCGCAGCACTTTGGAGGCGTCCATCGATGTCCATCGTCATTTTGCGTGGCAGGCGCAGCACTTTAGACGTGTCGCGTTGGCAGGCGTGGCACTTTTTGACATTCCAACTTTACACTCTACACTCTACACTTTACACTCCACACTCCACACTTTACACTCCTCGCCTCACTCCACACTTTACACTCCACTCTCCACACTCCACACTCTACACTTTACACTCTACACTTTAAACTCTACACTCTACACTCCAAACTTTACATTTTAAACTCCACACTTTACACTTTACACTCCTCACTCGACACTCCACACTCTACACTTTACACTCCGCACTCCACACTCCACACTCTACACTCCACACTCTACTCTTTACACTCCACACTCCACACTCTACACTTTACACTCCACACTCTACACTTTACAGTCTACACTTTACACTCTACACTCCACAGTCCACACTCTACACGTTACGCACTCTACACTCCCCACTCCACACTTTACACTCCACACCCCTTACTTTACACTTCACACTCCACACTCTACACTTTGCATTTTTCACTCCACACTCCACACTTTACATTTTAGACTCCTCACTCCACACTTTGCACTCCACACTCCACACTTTCCACTTTACATCACTTCACACTCTGCACTCTGCACTTTAAACTCTACACTTTACACTCCACACTTTACACTCTACACTCTACACTCCACACTTAACAGTTTACACTGTACGCTCCTCACTCCAAACTTGACACTTCTCACTCCACACTCCTTACTCTACTCTCCAAACTCCACACTTTACACTTTATACTTTACACTTCACACTTTACACTCCACACTCCACACTCTACATTTTAAACACTCTACACTCCCCACTCGACACTTTACACTGCACACTCTTTACTTTACACTCCACACTCCACACTCTACACTTTCCACTCCACACTCCACACTCCACACTCTACACTTTCCACTCCACACTCCACACTCTACACTTTACACTCCTTACTCCACACTGACACTCCACTCTCCACACTCTACACTCCAAACTCCACACTCTACACTTTACACTCTACACTTTACACTCTACACTTTACATTTTACACTCCACACTTTACACTTTACACTCCACACTTTACACTCCACACTCCACACTTTACAGTCTACACTTTACACTCCACACTCTACACTTTACACACTCTACACTCCCCACTCCACACTCCACACTTTACACTCCCCACTCCACACACCTTACTCTACACTCCACACTCCACACTCTACACTTTACACTCCACACTTTACACTCCACACTCCACACTTTACACTCCACACTCTACACTTTACACTCCTTACTCCACACTGACACTCCACTCTCCACACTCTACACTCCACACTCCACACTCTACACTTTACACTCTACACTTTACACTCTACACTTTACATTTTACACTCCACACTTTACACTTTACACTCCACACTTTACACTCCACACTCCACACTCTACAGTACACTCTACACTACACTTCACACTCTACACTCCACACTCTACACATTCTACACTTTACACACTCTAAACTCCACACTCCACACTCTACACTTTACAGTCTACACTTTACACTCCACACTCTACACTTTACACACTCTACACTCCCCACTCCACACTTTACACTCCACTCTCCTTTCTTTACACTCCACACTCCACACTCTACACTTTCCACTCCACACTCTACACTTTACACTCCACACTCTACACTTTACACTCCACACTCTACACTTTACATTTTTCACTCCTCACTCCACACTTTGCATTTTACACTCCTCACTCCACACTTTGCACTCTACACCCACACTTTCCACTTTACACTCTACACTTTACACGTCTACACTTTATACTCCACACTTTACACTCTACACTCTACACTCCACACTTAACACTTTACACTGTACACTGTACACTCCTCACTCCACACTTTACACTCCCCACTCCACACTCCTTACTCTACACTCCACACTCCACACTCTACACTTTACACTCCACACTTTACACTCCACACTCTACACTTTCCACTCCGCACTCCACACTCTACACTTTCCACTCCACACTGCAGACTGGTAACTATGGAAATATGTACAAGACTGTTCAAATAAACTATTGCAGGAAAGTGTTTTGCGTGACTGCATATCCATGTGTTTCGACATCTGTACCATTAACATACGTGTGAGCATTCGGGTTCGTGGGCTGCATCTTGTTTTTATCGTAGGCACCGTTTCGAAAGTAGAAGATTCCACTAAACTTCTGGTAAACTTCCACCTTTTTTGTGGAAGTTTTGTGGAAGTTTTGTGGACTGTGGAAGTGACACTTAAAAAGTGGAAGTTTCCACTTTTCTACCCTTAAAAAAGTGGAAGTTTGGTAGCAGTTTAAGTGGAAGTTTCGTTCGGTTATAGATAAAACAAAAATCTAAAAAATAACCGTACAATTAAAAAAAAATAGTCGAAAAAATAACCGTACCAGTAGTACGCGCACGAGGCGGGGCGGAAGTTGCCTTAGGGATATATATATATATATATATAAGACCTTTCTAATCTATAGAACTTGCATGCGCCGTGCGCCAGCCAAGCCCGTGCGTGCATGCATTCTTCGAAAGTGGTGTCCTGTTTCATATGTTTCATTCTTCATATGCACTTCACGCTTCACACTCCACACTTCACACTGCACGCTTCCCACTGCACACTCCACACTTCACACTTCACACTCCACACTTCACACTTCACACTCCACACTTCACACTTCACACTCCACACTTCACACTTCACACTCCACACTTCACACTTCACAGTCTACACTTCACACTCCACACTTCACACTGCACTCTTCACGCCCCACACTTCACACTGCACCCTTCACACTCCACACTTCATCTCATCTGAGCTCTTCTCACCATATCCCAGCTCATCTCTTCTCATTTGTCATCTAAGCTTTCATGAATCACTTTCCAGTACTACTACTAAGGAACTTGCATGCGCCGTGCGCCAGCCAGGCCCGTGCGTGCGTGCTTTGTGCGAAGCTGTTGCAGTGTTGCTGTCCAAGAACATGACCTGCGCGCGACCCCAGTACAATGCAAACACTTTCCTCACGCTTCACATTGCACTCTTCACACCCCACACTCCACACTTCACACTTGCACTTCATCTCAACTCATCTCATCTGAGCTCTTCTCATCTCATTCCGTGTCTTCCCATATGTCAGCTAAGTTCTTCTTGGCTATTTTCATGTCAAGTACTTCCCAGTACTGATGTCTACTACTAAAGCTTGCAAAAACCACTTCCCAGTACGACTTTGTACTACAAAGCTTGCACAAAACACGTTCCAGTACTACTTTGTACTACAAAGCTTGCACAAAACACGTCCCAGTACTACTTTGTACTACAAAGCTTGCACAAGGCACTTCCAAGTACTACTTTGTTTTACAAAGCTTGCACAAACTACTTCCCAGTACTACTTTGTACTACAAAGCTTGCACAAAACACTTCCCAGTACTACTTTGTACTACAAGGTAAAGCTTGCAGAAAGTACGTCCCAATACTACTTTGTGATACAAAGTTGGCACAAAGAAAGCTTTTACACACAGCAAGTTCTTTCTCAGGGAAGCTTTTACACACAGCACGCTTTTTAAACAGAGAATCTTTTACACACAGAGAAGCTTTTACACACAGCAAGCTTTTACACACAAACTCTTTTACACACAGCAAGCGTTTACACACAGCAAACGTTTACACACAGAACACTTACATACAGTGCTTTTACATATGGCAAGCATTTACACACACAGCAAGCTTTTTAAACAGAGAAGCTTTTACACACAGAGAAACTTTTACACACAACAAGCTTTTACACACTGCAAGCTTTCACACACAGCAAGCGTTTACACACAGAACACTTACACACAGTGCTTTTACACATGGCAAGCGTTTACACAGACAGAAACTTTTACACAGAGACGCTTTTACACAGAGAAGCTTTTACACACAGCAAGCTTTTGAACACAAAATCTTTTACATACAGCAAGCTTTTACAGAAAAAGGTTTTTACACAGAGAAGCTCTCTTGGAGCAAAAAAGAGGATTTTGAAGCACTTTTTAAAAGGATTTTTAAAAGGAAAATTATTAGCGCACAAAATTCAAAAAATCTGCTGACAAATCATTGTCGCAGCCTTCATGCAGCCACTCCAATACGATTTACGAGATCCAGCTGCAAAAGACAATAGTATTACGAATGCAGCCACAGCACGAAGCAACCTTGACGCAGCCATTACAATGCGATCTGCAGAGACTGAATTGCAAAACACAATAGAAATACGCGCAGCGGCGGCGGAAATTGCAGCTCCACAACCGGATCTCGACGCCAAAGCAGGAAACAGACGATTTTGAAGCACTTTTTAACAGGATTTTTAAAAGGAACATTACTAGCGCCAAAATTGAGAAAATCTGCTGACAAATCGCTATCGCAGCCTGGATGCAGCCACTCCAATACGATTTACGATGTTCAGCTGCAATAGTATTACGCATGCAGCCGCGGCACCGAGCAACCTTGACGCAGCCACTACAATGCGATCTGCAGAGACTGAGTTGCAAAACACAAAAGAACTACGTGCAACAGCCTCGGAAACTGCAGCTCCAAAACGTGAATCGACCGGTGGAGCAGACAGCCCACTCAAAACCGGCATTTGCTGCATCTGCTGTTGCCACATCTGCTCGGGAGGCATATTGGGCGCACATGGAACTGGAGGGGGCGGAGGGGGCGCTACCGCATGCTGCACAAACGCCGAAGGCCCTTGTACATGAGGAACAGCATAAGGACCAGGAATCGAAGACGTCTGCCAATTGCCCGGCGGGTATAGAAGGGGAAAGCAGCAGGTTCCAAGGGAACTGCAGCCCCTGGCGGTGCATTCTGCTGCCCCTGATTCTTCTTCCCTTTGCGAGAACGCCTGCGCAGTGTCTGCTGACGCCCTTGTCCTGGAGGTTGCTGTCCTTGTCCGGGAGGAGTATGTGCACGGTTCTGTTGACTCTTCCCAGATCGAGGAGTCTGAGGTCGAAACGACGTATCCATCACTTCTTGCCATGTTCGTCCGCACCAAGCACAACGGGGCATGGACGGGTTTGCCGTTTTCTGGCAAAACCGGCACCGCCACGGCATAGGCTTCTGCTGAGACATTTCTTTCGAAAGACGGGCAAGAAAATGAAGATCCTTGGAGTGGTGGGTCGAAAGGACTTTGCGAATCCGTTCGAGAGATTCCACAGGCAATGGTCGAAGGCCTTTGTGATGTAAATACCACTGAAGCCGCGCACGAGCACGTATACGTCGCTGAGCCCGCCTCTGCGGTGAAAGTGCCGTGGTGAAAGTCGCTCAATGTAAGACCTGGGATCACCCCCACAAAATCAAAGAACAATGCCAAGACGAAGAAGAACTGAATCCACAGGCACATACACGACAAGAAAGAACTCGAGGATGTGCGCCGCAGCAGCAAGAGCTATCAAAGGCACGTGACGGCAGCAGCCGGCACAGCCCGCGGGAATGGCTCTATCAAACCCGCTAAGTTCTGTAGTTGGCAGGGGATACCTGCAGAGCCAATCCGATACCATCCGATACCATCCGAATCCATCCGATACCTGTTGCTTGGTCGTGAAGGCGTGGCTTTGTAGAAGCCTGAAGCCAGTATCAAAATATTTTGAATTTCTTGCTACAGATCACGATGATAATGCTTTCAGCTGGCTGTCAAGCTTCGCAAGCATACACTATGGCCTTTACTGTGAGATTCGGGTGCCTGTTGTTGGCGTTTTTTGGATGTTGTTTTGCCAAGTTTTTGGTTCATGAACTAAGTCTTGTCCAAGCAGTGGTCAAGTCAAAAATTTGAGGCTTGGCATTGCGGGCGAGAACGCGGGCACGTTCGGCTGGCATAAATTGATGAGGTTCTTCCACGCTACCGCTAGTTGGGGTCTCAATGACTCTTGCCAATTCTCACCCATTGATCGTTACATATTGTTTATATGATATGTTTTTATTTGTTCCTATAATTCCTATGCTGTTGATGTGCTTGGCAATGCTTGGTTCCTCCCATTTTGTGGTGGCGCGTCGAGGTTCTCAGGTCTTCAGGTCTTCAACCTAAGAATGGGACTGCAAAGCCAGGCGCGAAATGTTGATCGCGTCAGAGCACGTCAGTTCGCTGATCGGCCTGATCCCAATGTGGCCGGCAGTGAAGTTTCCAGCCAACGTCTGGTGGTGGGGCTATGTGGGGCTCAAAGGGGCAGACAAACACATCTGCACTATTGAAGGGTTTGCGGAAATAGTGCCAAGAATCAGAAAAGCCTTCACAACCAGAATGTATTAAATCAGAACGTACAGTAGTATCTACGGGGAAGGAAAGAGAACAAATTGTACTGGATAGGTGCAATGATGAACATGAACCTATGTTAATATAATTACTTTGAAACTTTGTGCATCTGTGTGCTTTACTTGCAATGTGAGTGCGGTTATGTTAACTTGGTAGTGCCACAAACTCGCATGGATCGCAAGAGTGCTGGCTCCAGCGGCCAAGGTCCAAGGGGTGCCACCATCACAGAGATGCGTCTGGGGCTTCAGATTCCTAGGTGAAACTGTGTGCAGTGCAGCTCCATGATCATGCGATATGATGCGCTTCTGAGATACTAAATTATCAATCCATCTATCAAACGTATACTGTCCGTTGTTCAAGACTTGCGCCACATGGATTATCTGAACGCAAATGTATGGAGTGGAGTAATCCTTTCCTCCTATATCCTCCTACAATACTAAACCCTCTATTAATAAACACCTCAGGTAGTTTTTAGTATTAGGGAGTATTTGTTATTAGGGAACCCTATTAATAAAATTAAACCCTTAATAATAAAAACTAGTTTCTTCGATTTCAAAATCAATTAATTTCCTTATATATATATAACGCAATGAAAATATTGCCAAAAATTGGATTTCGAAGCGGACCATTAATAAAATTAAAGCCTTAATAATAAAAACTATGTGTTCCGATCTCAAAATCAAATAAATTTCCTTATATAACGGAATTAAAATATTGCCAAAAATTGGATTTCGAAGCGGACCATTAATAAAATTAAAACCCTTAATAATAAAAACTAGTTTGTTCCGAGCTCAAAACCAATTAAATTTCCTTATATAACGGAATTAAAATATTGCCAAAAATTTGATTTCGAAGCAGACCAGTAATAAAATTAAAACCTTAATAATAAAACTAGTTTGTTCGATTTCAAAATCAATTAAATTTCCATATATAACGCAATTAAAATATTGCCAAAAATTGGTTTTCGAAGCGGGCCCTAATAATAAATTAAAAGCCCTAAGATAAAAACTAAAAAATCGGACGGACCCTAACAATAAACACCCTGGGGTTGACTAGTTTTTATTATTAGGGGGCGAAACACACAAATGGTACCTTTATTTTTAAATTGTTTTCTAAAGGGGATCAATTAAAAGTCAAATTGGCCAATCTGAAATTTTCCAAAATTGGAGATGGACCCTTGTTTTTAGTATTTGGGGGACGTTTAGTAATAGGAGGAAAGGATTAGTCGGTTATGTCTTACCCTTAGACGCAATGCTGCCTCAAAAGGTTCCTTGCTTCCATTTCTTTGCCTGCCCCATCTCCCTTCAAAAGCGTGTTCGCTCGCTACAGTGACAAGTAGCATGTATTGCAGTCAACCAGGTCTGAAGTGTAACAATCTCAACATCGAGATCCGCCCTTCTGACACCCCAGAGAACACGAACGCTTCACACAAGGTGCGTCCGAGTGGGCGCCACCAAACAAGTTGTGAGTTGGACCCGTATTTTGCGGAGGGTTTGGAAAAAATCATCAACAAAGAATACGGATACTGTGGTTTCATAAGACATCCTAAGGAAGCAGCTGGCTTGGCCCTAGGAAATTCTCGGAAGGTTTGGGATGCAGTGGGTTCATTCAAGCGCCGGCACGCGCCGGCCTTGGCACAGGTCATTATGGGTCCTGGAGATGTGTCCCAACTCAACATGGCGGAGGTTCCAGCGACCCAACAAGCCAAGCCGGTCGAACCTGAATCTACGACTGACAAGTATGCAATGTATATTCAACCAGTATATGTACAGTACATCAGTCAAGTGGTCTCATACTACCAACTGCGGTGTTGATATGTGTTGATCAAATTTATCACTTCATCTTATCCGAAGGTCACTCTAAAGAATCGGGCCAAGGTCGCTTTCTATTCCTTGCCACACGCAAACGGAGACCTGACCCGAGTTTGCGAAACCAAAAGTCCTTTTTGAGACAGGAACCTCTCATCCATGCCACTGCCTCGATCCCTAAAGTGTTGTTTTGATCTTCGAGAAGAAAGGTCTAAGATCCATGGTTCATCAACATATGGGTGCAAGTCAAATTATACGGTCCGGAACAAGGTCCGGGACCACACCCGTTCCATACCTCCGTTCCATACCTGTTTGAAGGATCCGTTCCATACCTCTGACCCATACGTTATGATATATATATAATATGTGTATACAGTGTATATAGTATGTGTATATATATAATATGTATATATATATATAATATGTATAATTGTAATATATATATATATATATACATAGTTATACATTTAAACATGTGCAATATGATTTTACATTTGAACATGTGCAATCTATATACATATATATTATATCAACATGTACGCCTCCTCCCTCAGGACATTCAGAACGAACGAACTATGTTCGATTTCAGCGCCTTCCACACTCATTGTTTTAAATCCGTGCCTGTCAGGAACTCATTCAAGGACGCCTTGTGGAAGCCTTGAACAGGGAGTTGACATGTTTATGAGCATGAAGTTGCATATATCAATATATACTGTATAGTAATAGAACAGACTCAGACTTTCGATTGTCGAGGCTTATGTTTGTGAACTTTTCTTCTTCCTCTCTCCCTCTCTTTCAGTGATCTCAAATGGATCTGATTCTTGTGCAACTGTGATCCAGCACTGCTCCATGGCAGGTACAAATCTTGAACTAGACAAGCATGACTAATTCAGAGGCCTCTTTCGACCCCTCGAAGTTTGGAAGGATAAAAGCAGGTCAGCACTATCACTAGGTCTGTAAAGATTCCAGTCTTGATGATTGACGTCTTAGGAAGGACAAGATCCTCTCCCTGTCCAGTGCTGAGGCGAAGAATGACGGAAACAACGGCAGTGTGGGGTCACGCAGGTTTCCCAAGAACGAGCAGTTCGCCTGGTCCCCAGGGGTTTAGCAGGAAACTGTGTGAACTGCGATAAACTGTGTCATGACGAGTTGGTAAGGTTGTTTCGTGAAGAGTTTGGTAAGGTCGTTTCAGATTGTCATGCCCGGGGTTGCTTTGCAGTGGAATCTAGGTGACAGTGCTGAGCCTTTAAACAGTTTGGATTCATCGCATGGAGATGAAAGGAACCCGTCATCTCAGATATGCTTGTGGAGCTGGGCAGAAGCTAAAACAGATCATGTGCTGTGTCCTTAAAACGCAATTGTATGGAATTTAGGTCAAATGGCTCAATCAGCGTCCAAATATATCCAGATCGCAAATACCCAAGAAATGGCATGACCCAATGGCTGTCAGCTTGAGCAGACGTTCGATGGCCAGGTTGTGTTAGTTGTGTTGCCATTGCCTCTGTGTTGGTCTGTTCAACACGAGTGGACAGCAGTGCAAGTGCCGAATCAAATTTGTGAAGCCATCATTTCATCGGTTGAATTTCTTTGGATTGATTTACTTTTCAGGGCTGCCATGGCATTGACTGCCTTTGCAACAGCCCCTGCTGGCCAAGTGAACCAACTGGGCCGTTGCACTTACCCTTCGCGGGCTTTGTCATTTGATTCTATGGCTAAAGATGATTGCCCCAGCAATCTCGGGTCAAGTCAGAGGCCCATGATGCGGAAATTGTGATGTTAAATGTAGTAAATGTGGGTTGAATATTGATGCATACAGGTGGGCTGTAATGAATACGATGGATTCATGAAATTAAGCTGGTCTCCTACGCCACACTGCAACCATTTTTGTGGATCCAAGAAATCATTGGTGTCTGTGCCAAAACATCTAGTAGTCAACGAAAGGAAGCTGCAGCCGCCGGTTGCGCACAGTTGCCTGTTGAGGAACGCAACGGGGCAGCCCTTGGAAGCCCTGCGAGAGGTGCAGCCAGCCACAATGACAGAGTAGATAAGAGGAAGTCAAGGTAGCACGATGTGACCAACAATGGACAACATACAAGGTGATACAGAGTAACATTATTTATTATTTAACATCATTGTATATCTACCACTACATGACATTAATTACATTGTATTGCATCACATAATACTCCGAGAATATGATATCATATGAAATTGCAACATGTCACAATGCCAAACGTTTCTGAGCCATGTGCAAGGTGAAAGTATCTTCGCCTTCGCTGTCCTAGCTGCTGGCTGCCGGCAGCTTGTCATTTTTGGTCTTCCTCACTGCAATTGCCACTCCGACCTGACAGGAAAATTCGGAATATCATCAATAATTGTCAATAATCAGGAATTTTGAATGTCCCAATGTTCACCTGGAGTGTTGAGATCCCCTCCGTTGCCTCCAGTTTTCACAGACAGATCCGGAGCCCATGGGGACAGGCACCTGCAACGGCACAGCTCCTGGAAGCGACGAGACCGGGGGCGAGAGGGCGTCGTGAGACTTGCGGCCCAAAATCTTCCCGCCTCACAGCTGACTTCAGTTGATGTGACATGACCTGTACAAATCTCTACAGACGGCATCAAAATACATCAAAATGATTTAAAATGCATCAAACACTTTTCAATCTTATCAAACAGCATGTTGGAGAAGAAACTCCAGTCCTTGCCGTCCAAGTGCGAAAGGAGTGCGTTATAGTTATATGATGTTATATGGTGCATGGATGTACATGGTGTTCGGATATGGATATCTCTTGTTTCTGGTAGAAGACCACATGATTTCGGATGGTGCGGGCCGCTCATTCGCGGCTCTCAGGATGGCAGTGCCATCCAGTTGGCTGCAGCGTTGCCAGCTCTGCCAGATCAACCCTTGGAGGCCGCAGTCCTACTGCAACGGTCCCAAGATGTCCGTAGCTGGCCATTTCCTTACCCTTGGCCGTCGCAAGCCTATAATTATCCAGGTTCCTCCCAGGAATTTGTTGGTTTCATTCAGACAGATGATATGCATTTAATACATTCTACAGTAATACATTTACATTTTTGTGCATGGTGACACATACTCTACCGCTGGGAAATCTGTTTCAAGACTTGGTGGTGGAGTGGGGTGTAGCATGGGCTTTCCTTGGGACATGCCTTGGTGCTGTCACAGGTGTTGTCGGCTTTGGCTCTGGCAATCATTTGCCACGAGGCAGCTGGCCCTGGTGGAAATTGGGATTTGGTCAGGTTGTGGCGACTTGCCAAAAAGCAATATCCATTAGCCATGGCAAGGTATGGCAAAGCATGATTTGAAATGCGTGCATGATCTTGGTTTGCAGTTGACTGCAGACTTTTCAGCCAAAGGAGCTGGCACGCGATTGTGGCAACTATGAAAGGAGACAGTTTGATAGATTGAAGTTGAAACTTCTTCACCGCAAACAATATAAGAACTTCAAAATTCACTGACCAAGTGTTTTTTGTTCACGTCCAGCAAGAGGATGAAACAGCTGGTCCATTAACTGCTCCGGCACCAACCAGCTGGTCTGTGCTGTGGAATCTAAATATTCCAGTAGCATCCAGCAGCATCCAGCCAATTGCAGGGAGGCTGCATCTTTCAAGCAGATGGCCACTTAACGCAGCTGGAAGTACGCCAAGTAGGCCACAGCGCCACGATATCAAATCGTACCGAAATCGTTGCAACGCCATGTGTACGCTTCGTAGACTTGCTGCCTCATCGGCATGCTGGACTGCTATGGCGGACGGACCACAGACAAATGTCATCACCACTACGCGAGACCCAAACTCAAAGCCGGTGTGCGGATGTACTACAACGAGTTACATTTTACTGCGAGCAGCACCTTGCCATATCTTGCCGTATTTTCCCGTATCTTGCCTTTCCATGTGCTTCTAGTTTTTGCTTGGGGTTCCTAACAAATGTTAGAAACCTGCCAGTCTTCTGGCATCCAAGGAGTCTGCTGATTCACCTGTGGTCAGGCAGAATTATACCACCTTTGAGGGCTCTACCATCTTTGAGTCTTGGCGATCCAACACGTTCACCTTGCGAATTTGAGCTTGTCCGAATCAAAGCCTCAGATGCTTGACCTTACGATTCCTTACGTATCCATCACGTCCATAGTGTGCTATTTTTTAGTCCTGGGACAGACTGATGATAGGACATGACTTCGGGACTGGTGTCTCAAGAAGCCTGTGAAGCGACTTTGTTAACTACTTCTGCGGCTGTGGCCTACAGTTCCTTGGCAGGGATTCGACAGCTTTCTGGTTTGCTTTCGATGTCAGGCGAAATTTTGGTTGAAGCTGAACCAGTAAAAAGAGAGCAGGCTGAGACCTATATTTAGATCATTTTAGATCAACCTGCCTGGCGAGGCTTCGTAAGAATAATTCGTGCTAGTAGACTTATGTAGACTTGGCCTTTGTTTTTATGGCCAAGATTCGCATTTTAGATTCACCACTTGATGATGGCAACGCTCTTGAGGGATCTTGAGGGTACTTGCGGCATCCAGCAGGATATGTCGTCAGTCAGTCTCTCACATTTTGTGTGGTTTTCAGATGTTTTTGGATGTTTGTGGCGTCACATCACCACATTGTCACATCGCATGCCTGATTAGGCTACAACTTCCTGACCCAGTCCTGTGTGCTATTTTACGCAGATCACTGAATCGGTTTCTGCGCCTAACATTCGCAGCGGAGTAAAGATCCAGGCGAGGATCCGCTGAGAGTGGTTTTAGAAAATCTGTTGGATTCTGGTGTACTGGAATGAAAGTGATTTACATACATACATACATACATGCATGCATGCATGCATACATACAATTATATACATACATACATACAATTATATACATACAGTTATATACATACATGCATACATGCAATTACATGCATACAATTACATACATACAATTACATACATACAATTACATACTTACAATTACATATATACAATTACATACATACAATTACATACGTACAATTACATACCTACAATTACATACTGCGAATGGGATACCGACTACAGCACCATTTATGTATCCCATGTATATAGCCACATTTAAACTCATGCTCCCAGCCAAACGGGTCAAACAAACGACGCCCGTTATGGCTCAAGACTGCCCATATCCAGCACCTATAAAAGGACGCCCATGCCGAAACTGCACTGGATTTCTGCCGTATTCTTTGAGCACAATCATTGAACAACCGAATATACATATATCGAGTGACAATCCTCGATTCACAGGTTATCAGCCGTACGCTCTCCCACGGAGCCTACGAGCGGGTAGCCGCGGACCTTATAGATGGCTGAAGAAGACAGCAGTGATAACGCATTCTCCTTTGCTGGACATGCCGCCGCACCAGCTGACGGCACGCAGTCAAATTCTTCACAGAGTATCGATACTGGTGGAAGCGAAACCTCAGAACTGAGACCGAGCTTACCCGGACGATCTCTGGTTGCTCCGAGGGGGAGACAAGTACCGACAATGCAAGCAATTGAAGATAGGGACAGTACACCTGGAAAAAGAAGATCATCTGCCCGACAATTGTCGCCTCCGACGACTCCAAGGACTAAGGCGAAACCTACATCATCGAATCCGCCTTCACCGATTCAGGACGCTACACCATCAGGGGTGGGATCTTATCAACAAGTGAATGCCCCATCAAGTGGTAGCGACATCTTCACTGCCTATCAGGGCGAATTAGCAGAGTACAAGACATCACTAGACAGGGCTACTGAAGAAGAATCCGTACTTCAAGCGCGATTAGCTGAGACGGCCGCCTATGCCTATCAACAATTTAATTTTCTGGAGAACACCACTCATCAAGAAATGACATCGATGACTCAACAACTACAGATCCTGAACTCTGAACTACAATCTGCACAACAAGAAGATGAAGGTGCAACCTACAGGATCGAAGAGTTGGAGAGGTATCGAACCATGTCGAATGAAGCAACATCTCATTTGGAATTCAGATATTCTCAACTGCGATCAGAATTTAATGAACAAATGGGACAAGCGAATGCAATTATGGTACATGTGGGTACTGATGCAAATGCTCACATCAATCAACTCAGACTGGAACTAGAGAACGCAGAGATGAATGCGAAGCAAGAAGCTCTAGCAGTCGGCTTTGCCAATGATCGAACATGCGCACTTCACGTCGAAATGCTCGAGGTTGCTAACCAGAACCAGACGATGAAGCACAACATGTCATTGAGTATAAGACGACTGGAGACAGAACTCGACGCCGCTGACACAAGGAGAGAGGAGATCATGAGAGAACTTCGTGGTGACCTTAGATCCGAACACGAACGATATACTGAATGTGAACATCATTTAGCTCTGGAAGAGACTCAGCTTCAGTTGCAATTGGTCCGGAATGAAGGGCTACAATCACAATTGATGACAACTGAGAACAGACTTGTTGAAGAAACATCCTCTGAAGCGAATGGTGCACGAGATGTGAGGATCATGGGACTACGTTCTGAACTACACATGAAGCAAAGCCTATTGGATCGTATGCAACAACAACTGACTGAATCGAAGAACCAATATCATGAACTTTCGTGCCAACAAGCCAGACAATCATCTCTGAGTGAAGCACCATCACAAGCGCTATACCATGAGATGTACAATCAAGTACGGCGTGAACATGATATCATCAAGAAATCCAAGGAAGAAGTTGATGTTCTATATAGAAAAGCCAGAGCGGAGATCATTGATAATGAGAACCTGATCAAGACTTACCATGATTCATATGAGTCTCTTGGGAGGAAGTATCAGGACGCTTTGGAAAGGATTGACTTCATGAGTACTCATCCAAACGCTACCAGCAACATCTTTGACAATTTGCACATTGAAATCAGTGACAGGGACCAGATGGTTGCTCGACTCAGCACCGAAGTTGAAGCCCAGAGGGAATCTCTTGATCGTGCACACAAGGATGCAGGCCGCTCCATCAGGATGTTGAACGACAGACGACTTGTGATCAAAGGAGCAACTGACTATTCTATTCCTGAAAGTCACCTGACCGAGATGCACCATCTTGCCAATGAGCGCTTCGCTGAGGTAGAAGAGATGTCAAGCACTATCTCTGCACTGAGACTCGAAAACCAAGCCGCTTCATCTTCATTGCAGAACATGCCGGCTGTATTATTTGGAACCTCCAATAATGCTTTGCCTCGAAGTGAATGTGAAGAGAAGTGTGCCAGACTAAAAGCCGAATTGGAAGAGATGAAACGAGAGAAGAATGAAGAAGTTCGAAGTCTTCGAGATGAATTGAAGAAGATGGAAGAACGAAAGGACTACTATAAGAATAACTTCTCTCAAGCTGAAGATCGTGCCAATGATGAAGAACAAGAATATCGAGCAGAAGCCGAAGCCTTCGAAAAGCTCAGGAATGAGTACAACACCAACGTCGTGGAGCTGGAGAACCTTGAGAAGGACAAGGCGAGGTCATCTGTATCCCAAAGGGAGGCGGAAAAGATCACACTCCAACCATGGCCAAAGACTACTGAACTTTCATCCTGGAAGGGAAGTGTCATTCATGAAGTTTGTGTTGCTAGCGGAGTGATTGGAAAGCATGGTTGGCTCCTTGTCTTGCAGATCAACCAGACATGGATGCACTAGCCTTGGCTCCCGACATAAGATTTCAATTTATTGATGCCAAACTTTCCAATGCTTTGAGAAAGGTCATTGAAAATGCTGGGGACAAATCCAGGCAAGTGAAGTATGAAATGTCCATGAAGAATCAGATGTATGGGAAAAGTGGAGACTTCATCAAAGGACGAGAACTGTTTGCAATGATTCTGGTAAGTTTCAAGTCGCCAGACCATACTGAAGTTCTTTACAACTCCCATCACCTGTACGTATTCAACTATTATGGAGATGACCAGCTTGAAGCTTTCTACAACAAGTGGCTTGACATAGTGTACAACATGAAGCAAGATGATCGTCCATCTCTCAACTCACTGCGTGACACCTTATTTCGGAAGATTGAGCATTCAAAGCTTATGCACTTTGATATCAGCCGATATCGAACCTTCGATGAAGGGCGTCCTGAAAAGACCTATGATTTCCTGATCACCATGATCAAAGGCTACATAGCACGAGGAAAACAAGAACGACTGTTGAAGGAAAGAGAGCGTGCAGTTAAGATCTCATTGACCTCTACCAAGGCAACACCAGCCTTGGGAGA